GGTATCCGCGGAACCCTCCGTGGAGGTGAAAAAGGTGAGCCGAAAGAGCGAGCGACCGGTCAAAATACATACAAGATAAACTGATGGATAAGACTCTCAGATGACAATTTGGCGCTTGTAATGACTGGCTATTTTTCCCACCGAGCAATGTGTTGCATTGAAGCGTTTCAAATCATTGACTGTCCTTTATGACCGCGCCGCCAGCCTCCTGCGAAGAAGAGCCGGCTCAAGGGCTGGGCCAGCCAGGTGCGCTTCTCGTGGGTGGCCATGGCGCTACTTTTCACTGTCATCATCGCGTCCATCGTCGTTATCGTCCTCCAGTACAACATTCACAAGTCAAAGGTGAAGGGGTGTGGGAAGGTCGGGATAGTCACAAAAATAGCGAAAATGGTCCATCATTTGTAGTTGCTTATAGAAGTGAACTTGTGAAATCAATGAACTGACCTACGGTAATCCAGGACAGCTTTGTCCTGCTAATTACTCCGCCTGAGAAGCGGAGACAAAATTACGTCTGCGCCGTGCTGTCATGCATGTGTATTGTATACATAACTCTTTACGATCATTATATCGCGGAACGTGTGATTTGCTGTTGTCCTTTGCCGTCGTTTGATTGCGTTTGTGCGGCGTGCAACCGCATTGACTCCCGCTGGATGTGATCCGGTCGCCTGACCTCGCCCCTTTCTGGTCCCGCAGTACGCCCTGCTGGGGCGTTTCAAGTTTAGCGAGCAGGAGCGCCGGCTGCGGCTGTTATCTCCGGAAGGCGAGGAGCAGGCTCGCATCTTCATCGCCAGCGAGGTGCCCAGCGACGACCTGCCGTACGACTGCGGCCTGCACCGGTCCACGCGCGTCTCACATACCTCAAAATACCTGGCCGAGTCGACCTCCCAGGGTCGCGGCGTGTGCCTCGAGTGGAAGAACCAGGCGCGGGTCACGCTGGAGCAGGTGAGCCCGGAGCGACTCAACTGCTCGGGGCCCGTCTGCCGCGGCATCCAGTGTTTCCGCGTGGACTGGCGATCGCTTAGCCCAACCGTGGACCTGATGGACTGTCTAAGTCTGAAGGAGCCCGCCGGACAGACGTGGTACGGCAGCGCCGAGTCCGCCGCAGCCGACAGCTGGCCGCTGGGGACCGCCGACCAGCCGCTGGCGCCGCTTGTCACCGGGGATACCAGTCAGCACGCCTTCGGCAACGTGGTGCAGCGCTCGTTCCTCTCCAGTAACGGTGTCGGCGTGTACACGTTCACCAACGAGTCCATGTTCGTGCGCGTGGACGTGACTGAAGGCCGGCTGTGCCTGGGTAACGTGCGCCGTCCCTTCCCGTACCGGTACCCGGCAGAGGATCATCTCACCATGCTGTACTCCATCTGCACGGCGCCAAACATCATGCAGATGCATCAGTTCGGCACACACGTGCTCAATCCGTACTCGCGCCGCATCGAGGAGACGCGTCGCAAGGTGTGGCCGAGCTTCGACCAGATCGTGTACCACTTCCCTGGTGGCGGCGGAGTCTACACCCAGGAGCAGGTGATTGCGTACGGCGCAGACATCTCCACACGGCGCTATGGGAGCGGCGTGCTGGTGCTGGACAGTCACTGGCAGGCGCACCAGGGGGACATCCAGTTCGACCGCAGACGCTTCAACAACGCCTGGAAGGCCAACGAGCTGCTGCAGCGGCAGGGTCTGGAGCTGGCCGTCACCATCAGTCCCGTGGTGGAGCTGAAGTCGGCCAACATCGAGTACGGCATCGACAACCAGCTGTGGGTGCGAGAGGCCGTGACAGGCGACCCGGCGCTGGTCAGCCTGGCCAACGCTAAGGGGGCCTGGATGGACCTCTCCAGCACCAAGACGCAGAACTGGCTGCGGACCAAGCTAAAGAGGCTGAAGGACGAGACCAAGATCAAGTGGGTGGTAATCGACCAGACGTCAGCCCAGCTGCTGCCGTTCTACTACAACCTCACGCAACGGGTACGTTAGTTACTGGGTGGCGGCTCGCTCAGAGGGAAACGGTTCCCAGAATTATCGATAGCTGAAATTATATTGGCAAAATAAGCATTTGCTTACCTATTTTCATCACGTTTCAAGTCTCCGTGCACCTAAGATTAATCCATTCGTTTTTATTTAGGTAGCCTTTTAATTTTTATTGAGCAAAACTATGCGATCGTTGTCATATTTTCATATGTAATAAGTCCCTGACCTCTGCATGTGACCGCCATCTGGTGGCCCCTCGGAACCGTGTGTGACCCGTTTCTGTGCCCGGACAGATGGCCAACCCGGACTACCTGTCAGAGCAGCTGCACACCGTGGTGCGCCAGGCGGGCCTGCTGGTGCTGAGCACCTCCAGCGCGGTGCGGCCGCTCCAGGAGCCCGTGTTCGCGCAGCTCTCGCCCCGCCCGTCCACATGGGCCGGCCTGCGCCAGGTGCTGCCCTCTGCGCTGGCGGCCGGTACCGGCGGCCTCCACCTGGTGGCGCCACCGGCGGTGGGCGGCTCCGGCGCCGCCGAGCCAGAGCTGTACGCCCGCTGGCTGCAGCTCGCCAGCTTCATGCCGCGGGTACACTTAGCGCAGCTGCCGCACCAGCTGAGTCCCGAGCTGGAACAGATGGCCAACACGCTGCTGTGGCGCCGCCGCCGCACCGTGCTGCCCGCCTACGAGGCGGCGCTGCGGGAGGCGCTGGCAGAGGGCTGGCCCATGGTGCGGCCGCTGTGGCACCAGTTCGGAGAGGACCCGACTGTGGCGCCGATCGCCGACCAGTTCCTGATTGGGGCGCGGCTCATGGTAGCCCCGGTCACCGAGCCGAACGTCACCAGCCGGCGCGTGTACCTGCCGCGCGGCCTGTGGCGTGAACTGAGCTCGGGTCGGCTCGACAGCGGAGGCCGGTGGCTGGAGCAGCCCGTCACCATCGATACAATCCCGCACTACGAGCTCTTTGAGCCAGACGACCAGTGAAGTGGGGTCGGCTCTCGGGCGCGCAGCACCTTGGATGAGTTTTACGGACAGCAGACGTCACTCGAACGGTTGCACGACAGACGTGCCAGTGATATGATCACGTCAAATTTCTGCAGACCGTAGGTGTAGAAATTCTGTCCGTGAGGAAGGGACGGAGAAAAGTAGGCTATGGCGACGAAATGGATCGATGGGACCACTTTTATGAATGCATATTATGTTGACCTAGGGAATTTGTGAGGGTCGACGGACCCGCTTCTCCGTCCCATTAGCAATCAGTTGTCTTCCTACAAACTACTCAAACCTCGTCGTGAAATAACATGTGCGCCTGCGCCCAGCAGTTTGCACATTGTTTGCGGAAGTGTGCCGTGCTCGCGGTTCCCGCGCGCAGGCACAAATGACGTGGGCGTTCTGGTATGCTGTGAGATAACGGATATGAGGGGAATGACTTTTTGTTGTTTTACAAGTGCGTGTATGTGCTGAGATGAAGCATTGTATGCTCCTGGCAGCAAGTGCTCGGTGAAGCTGGAGAATGTTAGAGGCCATTTACATGTTTAATTTAATTGCCGCGAGACGATCGTGATAATATGATAGCGTCAAGCGATCAGAAAGGTCTTCCTTGAGCACATATCATGCGAGACGTGCCATATCAAACGACTCTGGTTGAATATACGCATCGAATGATTTTAATTATCTAAGAATAGCCGACTAAACTCACATGACGGCAGTGAAGATAGATTCAGCGTGAAGTGTAAAACTGGATCGGAAGCCCATGTGTGTAGGTACTAGGTATTACTGCTCATCATTTTACGTTCCGCCGTTATGATTTGATAAGTGAAGTGCCAACATGTGCTCCATTTAATATGATGGATATTTTATTTGAATAAACTTGATCATTGTAAACGAACATTCGACGAGTTGCATCGATGTCGCTAGTACATAGGTGCATATTTGGTGTATAATCTCCGGGCATCCCATTATCTTTTGCGTCGACGTTTCGAGGTCCACCCGTAGTATTACGATATAATGTATTTAAGTACCCTTCTAAATTAATATGCAACATTTTACAGCCATGATTTAATTCAGTCATTCCTGCTCAGTGATCCTGAAATTTGGGTATAATGTCATTTTGGGGAGCAATGTCACGTAATTTTGGTGCAGGAATGCCACATAGGTACCCGTCCTTTTCCCGACAATGCAGTTTGCTCAGTGCTCAACGCAACATGCTTCAAAGGACAAACCGTAGAGGATAGAACGCTCAACACGCTATCAATACTAAGCGAGACGGACATATTGCCCAGAAAAATGTCGGGAACAATTGGAAAATACTTCGCCATATGCGGAATTCAATGAGGAAGTAAAACAACAAAAGTAAATAAATAATGAAAAACTAAGAACACTCGCTTTAAGGTATGGGTTCCAGCATAAAAGCGATCTATTCTGACAGTCGCGGTGAAAACTTTACCGGTATAAATTGACGTGACATAAGCATAGAGAAACGTTCGATAGGCAACGCGATAGCTAATCCGAAGAGGTATCGTGTGTCACGAGACCAGAGGCCCAGCACGCCGAGTCAATGTAGGTAGGTATACGGAGGCTTCCGGCTCCGTATACCTACCTACAGCCGCTGGGGCGACATGTCTAATCCCCGAGACCGAGACGATCGTAATTCGAGAGGTCTCGGATGGGCCTGGCGCCCACCAGCCGTCCCTGTCCCCACAGCTGGATGTAATTAACTGTCAATCCGAGGGCTGATAGCGACAATGACTTCAGTTACACCGCACAGTCTCGGCAATTTGCATTGAGTGTAATCCAATCAATCAAACCATCTGCCAGCTAAAATCCAGCTACGGACAGCGGTACGAGTGAACTACCGCCGCCACCGCGTACGCTATAAGCGGGTACTACGTAGATTCCAATGCGTCGCCGGCGCCGGGAGACCTCCCCGCCGGAGCCAGGGGTAATCTCGAGGGACGGGTCCGCCCCTGGGTCTGCGGTCACACAGAGGGGGGCACGGGATGGTGTTTGTCCCACCGCGGCCGGTGCGGATTGCCCCCGCGGCGGCGGGGACGCCGGCCCGCCGGCCGCCGCGCCGGCTCATCAGTCGGCAGCAGCGCGCGATTGTGGCGGGACGTCCCCCGCGTGCGTCTCTCGTCGCGTCTCCGGTCCGCCGAGTGGCGTCTGTTGTCGGCCGGTGGGACCCGTCACCTGCAGGATGGCCGAGGGAGGCCGCAGCCCGCCGCCGCGGCCACCCACTGCGCGCGGCTACCACCGTCTGGTCGAGGCGGAGGAGGAGTACCTAGCAGCAGTGGCAGCCGGATCACCGCGGCCCGAGTACTGGCTCGAGCAGGCGACCGCCTGGGAGGACGAGTGCCGCCGCAGTCCGGGCCTGGAGCAGCTGCTGCAGCCGCCCGACAGCCCGGTGTGCGCCGGTCGCCGGCGGCTCGGTCCGGCCGTACCGACCGTCAGCAGTCGGGTCACTGGTGACGCCGACAGTCAGAGGGCCAGTGACGCCGGGGAGAGACCGGCCGGAGAGCAGCCGCCCGACCAGCCGCGCTGGGTAAGTCCGACACAGAGCGAGACACGCTGAGAGTCTCTGAGAGTGCCTCAGTGAGACACGATGAGAGTCTCTGAGAGTCCCTCAGTGAGACACGCTGATAGCCTCTGAGAGTCCCTCAGTGAGACACGATGAGAGTCTCTGAGAGTCCCTCAGTGAGACACGCTGAGCCATTCAGTGAGGGCGGCACTCTCATCCAGTGGGTGCCTGGAGTGCTCGGTGAACTGACGTTTAATAATTCCTTTCATTTCTTCAAGAGTACCACGAGGAGTAATGAAAGGTCTGTCGCGAAAGCAAGGCTCCCATTGTGGATCTCCACTGCATTTAAGCTCGCCGAGTGTATTATAAAATAGGGAATTTGGGGAGATTGGCAAGTTTTAAGCCAACTACGACGAATTGAAGTCATGCCTCTGCTACGGGTGTTTGCGTTCCTCGCCGCGCCACGCCGCCCCGGTCATGTACCGAACATCGCAGACAGGCACGTGATCTGAATGACGTTCCTCTGTATATACGCTGGAAGCGTTTATTTAAAACCGCGACTGTACTATATAGACGCGGGATCATCATGTATTCAGGCTCAGATAACGAGATAGTGGCTGACCTGGTGCATTTCAAGGCATTCATTCAGCCATGTAATTTGTATAGGCACGGATACAAGTTTTTGGCAGCACCCGGAAAAGAACAAGGGCCTCCACATGTACATATATCTCTGAGAGATTAAAGTCCACACGGTTGCTGAATAAAGGAGCTGTAAGCTATCTTATGTAATCGCCGGACCTAATTTTTAATAAATCTGGCTGTGGAGGAACGAGCGGGTACATACATGCACGACCCCTGTCGCCATTTAGCATCTAATTCAGCTACGGAAAAAGATTGCGTGCGCCGTTACGTGACGCAGCGACCTGTACCTACCCAATTTTGATTAAGGCAATTTAAAGTAAAATTTAAAATTTAAATAACAACGGGTGACCTCTGAAGTCAGCTCGAACGCCCCGCGGTATAAAGGGTTTGGTTTTTGGTAAATAGCTTCGCCAAAAAAGGCCGCAAAACCGCGATTTTGGCACCATTGTGTTCTCCATACTCAGGCGCGTCAAATGAGATACTTTCTGTTTAGTCCAGGACAACTTAAGGTGTTGACCTAAGGCTATCGTCAGGTCAAAGCCACTCAGGTCAGGAAAGTTGTTGATGTCGGTCATATTGCATGGTATACCTACAATTCGGCAGGGCTTAAACGAGCTACTCGTATTTGGTAACGTTTCCTACCTGCACCAACCAATTACATCGGGAATTATTGAAAAACTCCAATAAACTCAAGTGCTCCAGATAGTCAAGATAATGACTCTTAAATGCATATAAAATCGTGTGTCGTAGATCATGAGCTGGTGTCAAAACAACAGCTTCCATGATTTCCCCAATGACTTGTAGTGGTGAGGTCAAGAGAGTCGAAACCGACCTGACCTCAGGTGACCCTTATGAAAATACGAGTCACGGAAAAGATGCGAACTTTAAAGCTTACTTCTTTTGTCAAATCCAACCTCCTTGCAAATGATTCCTTGACGCTTATGGCATTGCCGAAGCTATATTTTTGGATTTTGCAAGAGTTCACTTATGAGTTATGACACCTGACCATAGGTCAATGAAATGGCCTGAACTGAAAATACGGCTGGCGCCACAAGATCCATTAATTTAACCGTCAGGTATGCCAACCTTGAGCCTCACTGTATCTAAGCATTCCGGGCAATCGCAAATAAACTATCGGGGGGGGGGGGATAACCCTCACGGCAGGGGAGGGTTTAGACTCGGAGAAGCAACTACAAGGTGCGAGTTCAGCTGTAACAGTACATCATCTCCAATTATGTGCAGGTGTTCGTCGTACAGAAACTGGGATTGCCATAATCAACACTATTTACTGTCGCCGAAGCCCTAAACGTGAAGAAGCTTTCCTTCATTTTGACATTATTTGACCTGATATTGATTCGTCACTTGCTTTTTGAATACAAATAAAATCTACATTGAAGAGACTTAGATACGTCTCAGGGAGCCCTTTCCAGCGTTGACTCGCACGTCTCGCAATGCGAATTTGGTTTCCAAGGTAGATACGAGGGCGAGAGTGCATTTACGCCCTCGGCCTCTTCAGTTATTGTATCCAAGCTAGGGAACGAGGAAACTGGAAAATAACTCTAAGCGAAAGAAAGAAAAATATTTTCTTCGGCAACAAACTAAGCGTTATAAGCCTGTCAAACGTATCGATCACAAAAATTGATTGATGACATTTATACCGGTCATTTACCCGATATCGGCAAAACGTGTCGGTGAAACTGGCTGAGTCACGCGTCAGGCCTGTGAACCTCAGCTGAATCTGACAGACGGGGCGGGGGACGGGGAGGGGGCGGACTCTAGACGGGTGGGCGGCCACTCACAGCAGTCGCCGCGTGCGGAGAGGGTCGCACAAAGCCGGGAGGGTGGGCGGGGGACGGGGGGGGCGGCTGACGACAGAGAAGGGTCCAGGGGTAGACCCCGGCCGCCGCCGCCGGCCAGCCAGTCTGTCGCCGCTGACCAGACGCGGCTGGTGCTTCCATACAGTTGCCGGGACGGGGTCTCGGGTTCGTCCGGAAGTGCCGGCAAGATTGAACTGTGATATAGTATAGGGCCGCCAGATCGTTGGAAGATATGCGTTTCGCGGGCAAGGTTAGTGAAAACTTGTATGTACCTACCTAATGTTTTTACCTTAAGGATTAGCATTGCCTGTGAGAAAAAAAAAACAAAATGTCTAACTCTTCTAATTTGATAGTCCTCTTTAATTTGGTTTTTAATTTTACCTTTGCACTTCAAATGTTTTTTCTTCAATAGTTAAAAATACACTTATAGGTACCTAAATGTTTTTTTTTTCTAGTTCCGATGTATAGGATTGGATGGGATTCCCTATTCTTACTATATAGTATAGTTTCGAAGCGGACGACAAACGTAAATTATTATTTGGTCTATTTTTAGTATTTTCACGATAACTGTCAAAATTGCCTTTCGCCTTTGTGTTTTCAACAATTACTTGCTAAAAATATTGTAGGTACGCCTGGAAAAGCATGTGTGGTCTGAAAACGCCTGGAATGACTCGTCATGCCCGGACAAAGATCAGTTAGTGCGTAAGGAATTTATAAACACTGGTGCCACGTGGCATTGTCCATGCTTTTAATGATGTGGAATTAATTTACCACTCCAAAGTCCAAATATTTCACGCATAAAGACATCACGAGCTACCAAGCTAGACTGAGTCTTACAAATGTTCCACAAAACGGCATCTCGCACTATCTGGCAGTATGCAAACAAAAGGAGTTATAATTAGGGTAGTAGATACCAGCCATCTAGAACATGTCGTTAATCGATGGGTAACATCGAGCTCCCATCGGCCCCGTCACGTCTTACACGCCGGCCGGCCTAAACCGACTGAGCCAACTCTTATCTCATCGTCAAATGTTTGGAGCCCAGTAACCGGCCGACTGTCGACCGGATGTGCCTCCAGATGCGTACCTTCCACCCCCTGGTAGGGTGCCGCCGGCGCGAGTGTTTATCTTGGTTAGAGTTTTTAATGTAGCGTGCGCGGCGTTTGAAAACACTAGCGGGCGCCGGCTTATCGCAAGGCCTACACACTACCCGGCCTCGTCTGGTCGTCTGTGTGCGCTGGACGGCTGTTCACTTTGGTGTACACTGTGGTGTTGCCCAGTGATCTCCTTTGCGTTTTACTTATCCCGACAGAGCTAATGTGTGACGACTGATAACAGCCGTATCATGCAGGCTCAATCTCGTACCTATTTTGATTATGCGGCTAATTGCCGACAAATCATCTCTGTTGCCTATTCTGAATAATCGATTATCCTCATACCGCGAGTTTAAGTCGCGGTGCCAATCATTCGTGGACACACTTTAACCCTCGCCCTGGCAGGGGGGGTCGATGCGACCCCCCCCCCCTAAGGTTTTTCGAAGATAGCGTAAAAACGGCGGCGCGCAGCGCCGCCAAATTTGGCACAGCCTATGGGGCAACCTTTTTACATATGACCTGAAAATTTCAGGTCCGGGTGAACTTGGGTCAGGTCACCAGGTCAGAAAAACCGATACAAGGTCATGGTCAAATTTCAATTTTCTTTTTGCACCTGTCCAACTCACAGTTTTGCACTGATTTCCTTCAAACTTTCAGGATGTGATAAGTTCACCGAGTTGTATAACATATAGTTCGGGTTTTTTGAGGTCACTGACCTGAGGTCAGTTAGAGGTCATTACGTCGTAATGTTAAGCCTATGGGAAAATACTAAATTCGGAAAATACTGGAGATATCCGCTTCGTTCTATCACTTTTGTGCTTTCAAACCACAGTACTTAACAGCAGGTCACTTGGTGCTCTTTGTTTGGTGTACTTATCCATGGGTCAGGTCAAATGAGGTCAACTGAGGTCAAATGACGTTTTTGCCAAAAACTTGGCACATAATGACGCTAGAGCTTAAAAAATGGTATCATTGTGTTCCTGGTGATCAGCCGAATCGAATGATATGCGATATGATGCAATTTGGTTAACTTTAACTTAATTTATTAATTTAAGTTTGCTTGAAATTTAAGAAAAACTTTAAGTATACTTCAGCAAGCTAACAAGTATATCATTCGACGCGCCTTGACGTACTGAGTTCACTGGTGCTTTTCTTTTTGCTCTATCTTAATTAGATCAAAAGTTATAAGCGAAAAACTTTTGACCTGTTTTTAGCGAAATTTTTACATTTATACCCCCCAAAACCCCCCTAAATATTGACCTAGAGCAACCAAATTTGCACAGGGGCGAGCACTCCAGGGGGCCCACCTACCTACCAAATTTGGTGTTTCTAGGTGCCATAGGAGCCAATCGCGAGGGGGGGGGGGTCGCATCGACCCCCCCCCCCCCTGCCAGGACGTGTTATGAAAAATGCCCTGCCAGGGCGAGGGTTAAGGTTTTGAATTTCGCATCTGCAAATCCTGTTAAACCTGCATGACGCTAAAACCATGCCCCAAGGTCAATGCGACCGTGAAACTCTGCTGTTTGCAATGGGACAAGTTGTGACGGCTGCCGCCAGGTCAAACTGTCCATGTCCGACACAGCCCAAGGCTTTGTAGCGATCTCCGTGACACCACGCCACTCCTTCTCATGTTTCTCGTGTCGACTCATATGTCCTCTACTGCCCTTGCTCTGCAAGCTCTACCCCTGGTGCGCTCCGCCTTATTTACTCTTATTAATGATAAATACAAGTTTGTTTATGCTACAGCAGCCACCCAGCGACATTACGCCCGCGGGCACGGCCATAGCGAGCCGCCGCTGTCCCTCCCAAAGTCTTCACCCAACGACCCTGCGACTCGGCTCTATGGACATCCTATTATCCACTGTATAAATAAATATGACCCCCCCCCCCCCGGCCCCCCCCCCCCGCCCCCGAGTCTCGCCCCGTCACTACTCACCAGTCACTACACACTACAGCGGCCGTGACGTAATTACCGGCCCACACTAGTCTGACCCGATGTTGACCCCGTGACCTTTTCCATCCCCAGAAGGTGGACATTCAGGTGCGCGATCCGAGACTGGAGGACGTCGGCTGCTGCAACTTCTGTCTGGGCACCTGCCTGAACCCCTATCCCATCAACTTTGAGATCATCACAATGGTGAGTGCTCCCAAGATCCACGATAACTGGGGCTTTGTTTTTACTTAAATTACAATATGTTACGAATCGCTAAAGAGTTGTTTTCCAAAGTAACTGCTGTAAGCACCTAACGTTTGCCGTGCCCCTCTCTGCCTCTCATGCTCGTCATCGCGCAAAATAACCAGCCTAATATCCTCGCACCCGTGTGAGCGCTCAGGCCCGGACGTTTTAAAGGCACGCACATGTCCCTTTTGTTCCGAACGAACTTCGCCGTGTTTCCAGTCCGACTCTCCGATGCTCTGCGCCAACTATATGGTGGTGAGGCGCTGGGATGAAGACTTCATCAAGCTCTACAACAGTCTTCGCGACCAGTTTGCCTTCAAGTAAGTGTAAATAAATATACCTTATATGAAGCAAAAACATAAGGACATGCGACTGTTACCTTTTTGCCGCGCCTGGCAAAACAACTTCCGTTACAAGAACAACTCACTGAACTATTTGACTTCAAAGTTCAATGCGTTTGCGTACCTACATTTCGGCAAAATGTCTCCTTGTCTTGCTTACCCCATTGATCTTTGGTGTTAAGTCTTGCTGTAATTCATAACTCATTGCATCGACCACCGCTCACCATATGCTCTTCACCCCACCCCACCGCCTGACTGAGCTGAGTCTGACCTTCTCCCCTACCTAACTGAGCTGACCCCGTCCCCCGTCTGGACGCAGTGGGCCTCTGATCTCGGCTCTGAACACCCACCGACCGCGGCGGCTCACACAACTCTCCGAGGACGCGGTCACCCTCCAGTGCGGCCTCCACAAGAAGCTGCTCAAGTGGTGAGTGCCCTCCTATCGGGCCGGCCCGCTCGTCCTCTGCCGGTACATGGCCCCGTTCTCGGCCCGGCGTCGGTGTGTGAGTCAGCCCGTATCGCGCCGCTGTCCAAAGTAGCGTCACGCCGGAACGCTGAGAGCTGACTAATGACCCCGCACGGCCAGTGACGTCACGGAAACACCATGTGTTTAAATAGGGGCGATGTTCTCTTAACCTAAATAAATACTATGTAGACAAACAAATTTTTAGTCTGACTAATACAGTGGCCGTAAATTTGCGAGCTTACGTACCTATTATCATTTTTTCTCGCTTTGTATGGAATCCCAAGCCTTATTCAAAGCATTAGGTGCGATCTTCACTCAATACACCCTGGGCGCGATCGGCATTACGTCCCCGAGTTGCGTCCGACCGAGGAGCGTAAGATCAAACTATCAGTACCTATAGTCCACAGAAGCGCTAGGTGCTCCATATCCTGAATGACATAAGAGCAGCATGTAATCTAAATCGCAGCCATTTCTAAAAATAAACGTCCCAATTGCGACAACTTTAACCCGCGCCCCGCTGGGGGGGGGGGGCAGAATCTGCCCCCCCCCCTCCCGTTTTTCGCCAATAACTTCTAAACGCGTTAAGCCAGCGACGTCAAACTTTCAGTACCTTATCATACATCAATTTGACACGTTCCCTGAAAATTTGAGCGAAATCCGTCGGGACATTTTTGAGAAAATGACGTTTTAGTGACGTCATGTTCGCCATTTTCGCCTCAAAAACGGCAAAATTTCAAACGCCGCCAACATCTTCATTTTTAAAGGAATCAAGACGTAACAAAAAAGGTTATACGTGATTCTACTTTGTCTATCAAATGGCTATCTCGGTTTTTTGAAAATTTTGGATTTTGGCCAAAATTTTTCCAAAAAACTGACTTTTTTGGGAAAATATTTATAAAATCCAAAATTTTGAGTTTATCGAAAAAACCGGAATATATGTCAAAGAAGTGGTCTATGTGCACCTACATACCAATTTTTAGAAGAATCGGTTCAAAAATGTGGAAGTTATTCAAAATTTTATGACGTCACGACACACAAAAATTTTGAAAAATGATTTTTTTTGGAAGTTCTAGACCTCGTACAGAAACAAAAATAGCACCATTCGATTCGCCGTGAAAAACTGCATCGGATAGACACCTTTTTAGGCCTTAACAACCAACTTCAAAATTTGACCTCACTTGACCTGACCTTGACCTGACCTCGACCTGAAATTCATCCAGAGGTGGTCCATATCACTTATTGAGTGTGCCTATTGAATTCCATGAGTAAAATGACCCATAAAACATGTGTCGCACATGCCCTTTTCTATATTTTGTTTTTGGTGACCTGACCTAACCTGACCTGACCTTGACCTTGACCTTTGAATGACATTGTGTGCAACGAATATTGTCTTGGTAGTCTAAGAACAAGTTTTGGGCAATCAGTCTCAGTCCATTCTTCGGCAACTACGGTGCAAGGCCGATACTGTAGAAACTTGCATTTTGTACCCTTGACCTGACCTCTGACCTACTTAAGCAAAAAAATTTGGGCTCTTAAAGGTAGTGTGCCACCTTTGAAAGATTTCCCATTTTATTTTTCCTAGGATAAGAAGCTTCTGTTTTTACCTAATATCGCAAAAAAATCAAAAATGGGCCTGGAATAGTGCCTTTTTCGCCTAAAAGTTTTTTCGGTTTTTAGATATGTATAACAACTGTAGTGGGCTCACCTGCAAACAGGCGTCGGGCAACAATCGCGAATGCGGCGCACTTGTGACAATAAGCAAAGGTCATTATAGTGTTACGACCATACGACGTACGGGAATGAGTTATCAGCTGTCTAATCGTAGACAACACAATGTCGAGCCTTAAACTGTAAGCCCGTATTGGTATTGTTTCTTTTATTTGGCTGTCGAACATTATTTATGGTTTGAAATATGATTTTATGTAAAATAATTGATATGAAAAAGCCGTCTTATAAGTTATGACCCCATTTCACCACACGCAAGTGGCAGAAATGACAATGATCAGCTGACGCATTTTTCTTGGCCGAAGTCAGAGCGCGCGGCCCGACGCACCACGCGTATTTGGAAATTCCGACCTCGACGAGCATCAGAAGCCACCTAACAGGCGTGTTCGAAACCGCAGGAGATGATGATGAACGGGTTTGTCGAAACTTGATTGGATGAGCATATCGGTAATAGCGATTTCAGTGTGTGCATTTATTGTTCATAGTGGTGTGAAATGTGGTTGGGGTACGACCGACAACCCGTCGGGGCGAATTTCGCACTGGGGTACTCAAAATTTGAAGAATTTAAGACGTTTCCATGAGTTTTGAAGGTATGGATAAGTTCTAAAAATCCGGTTCTCCTTATCTGGGCCATTAACTCCATACGGTCCAAGAAAGCTGGCACACTACCTTTAAGATCCGCCTTGTTGAGAGCTTTCGATTGCCGTTTTCCTCGTCTTTCTACGACCATCGGTTCGGAAGTTAGACAGGGGGGGCAGAATCTGCCCCCCCCCCCCCCCCAGCAGGGCGCGTATGGCTGAATAGCCCAGCGGGGCGCGGGTTAAGTTACAAGCCAGATGCAGCAGAGATATTAGGCGATTTTCGGTCACGTAAACAGTAAACACACCTCTCAACTCCGAATTTTACCCACTACAAAATGCCTAGTTGGCTCACGAGACCAGGACGTGGAACTTTCGAAACAATCACCGCAAAGATCTAAGGAACCCACCTGTTAAATGAGTCTCATAAATTTTGAGCGCAAACGTTCAAATGTCGATTTAATCGTAGACACATTTCCGCCCACTAACCCCCGCTCCGCTCCCCCCGCTAATGTCGCGTGCCGTCCCTGCAGGATCATGAGCAACAACGCGTTCTACAGCAGCCACGACCTGCACGCGTTCATCGGCTGCAAGGCGGACACGTGTCCCTCGCAGCACACAGAGTCGGTGAAGAAGTTCCCGCAGTACCCGCGCGGCACGCGACGCCGCCGCTCTGGCCAGCACGAGGACTGAGAGTGCGCCCGCCGCGCCGGGGCCGTACCGGTGGGATAACTACGGTACGGAGATACCTGCCGTTTTGTTTCTGTCACGCGGATCTGAACTGAAGTGACGTGAGCAGTACGTTACAAAGATTGTTCACATATTGCCTCAGTCTCGTTCAGTGTTCTTTGAATCCTTGGCTGAATGCGTTTCGTTCACTTTTCACTTCACCTCAGTTGAAGCACGTCACAGAAAATTCATTTTAGAGTCATTCTTCTTCAGAGATGTATATTATTTGCCAATTTCCAAACATGATATTGAAGGCCTATTAACTCGCGCATTCCTAATCTACCCGTAATATTTCTAACACAGAGTCGGACCCATTTCAGGTTTGACGTTCGACATCAGAGCGAAGTGAGCTCCGCTGTCCAATGGACAGTGTAAGGACGACCGCAATGACCGGAGAGCAGCGACCGAGGCTGCAGGCTTGGTGGTCAGATGTGTCTAGTGGTCTGATGACAAGCGTGTCGAATCTGAGGACCGCGAAACCAAGCCAAGAACTGGCTGAATCCAGCGTCGCCAGAGGCGGTGTGACATCGCGATCTCTGTGACCAATCATCACGTAGCAAAGTGTGCCGATCAGAAGAGAAGAATCGCGGAATGTCGATGTCCAATGACCACAATCTTGGAAAGAGAGACAATTGCGGGTCACGCATCGACACAAGATTGTAGACTTCACTGTATCTCATGATTTTTGTATCTCACGATTTTGCCTGCCAAGCTCCGTGCTGTCGTTTATTTAAACGGTTTGTGTACGACGAATGTCCACGTGCTGAGTACAAATAGTTCACTGCCAGGGGTTGCGTATGTGCGTCGTATTCAGACGGATGTCTCGCCTCTTTGACTGGTGCGTCTTGGGCCAGATTACTGACACCAGAGAGGCATTAGGTGTGCCACCATCATGACGCTCATATCCGGTGTTTTACTGACAACCATTGTGTAATCATTGTGTAATTGTCTGGGGAGTCGTTTTAATACAGGATCATACATTCCTTCAACTCGCATGTCATAGGCTAGGGAATTGAGAGGATCCACCATCGGAAGTTAAAATGTTAGCAAGTTCCATCAGGCCATATTAGGGTTGTTCATGATCTCACTGGTTCTCAACATAGAAACAGGTAGGTTCTACTTGGATCTATGATACCAAAACAAAATTTGAACAGAATGAAAGAACTTGATATTGACATTTCAAATTGTTGAGATCAATGAATCACAGATACAGCATTCGTCGACACATTTTAAATATCTGTTTCGCAGAGTTCCTCAGCTGTTAGCCTTTCTTTTACGAAACGGCTCAGTCTTTTTATCTTGTTTTTAGGAAACGCTGTCAACAACTCTTGAGGCAGATGCAGTAAGGAGGATCAAAATTACGCCCACGCAATATTTTTAAACTTCCTCAGTTACCATCATCTGACCCAAATCGACTGAATCATGCCTAACGTTCCGAAAAAAACACCAATAATGTGACCAAGGCCATATACGTAATTTGACTATATAGGTCGCATCAACAGATATTTTGTCCTTCCCACAGGAAAATGGCAGCACCGTCGAGATCAACATGCGTGCGGACTGTTATATAATTTTTAACAAACCGCAAACAAATTAACACACCTTTCGCGGCAACCCTTTCGGATCTATTTAAATTTTTGTTATTATTTGACAATTCATTGTAATAAATTTCAGTCTGAAACTTGAAACGGTGATGTGAAAAAATTTTCGTAGGGTTTTCAGTCCATTAAGCTTTCGAAATAGTTAAATTGGTAGTCATGAGGAAATTAACTATGGGTTGAAATGGGAGATGTACCAGATCTTCCACCAACAAGCCTGTCAAAGGCTATCAAGGAGGGAGGAGAAGTTTTCGGTAAGTAGTGTTCAGTGTTCACGGTACACTGAAATCCTTGAAATTACAATAATCCCCTTAGATGCAAATCCTTATCTCATCAAGCACACAACAATTAGGTAGAAGTAAGCGTACCTGTCGGGATTGTTTGAAACGATACTTGAAACGTTGAACCGTGAAAAAGGATAGCGAATACGTAACATTACCAAATGACTGAAATGACTTGACTGAGTTCACTACTCAAATGATCTTCGCGGGTCGGTTGAGTCAGTTGTCTGTAAAGGAACACCTCCTCATGTAACCGCAGCAGCCTGACACCGTCTCGCTCTCGTTTGTCTGGCAGCATCATGGCTGAACCACCAGACCCTCCTGTCGGTACCGCGCGAGTACCCTCCGCCACCAGACACCAGGGTGCCATGGAAGTAAGTCAATGCCGATTACCAAACAATAATCGCTTTCCCCGGCTGCCTTACCAGATAGTCAAAGCGAGAAAATGCAGGCTTACAGTCATGCTTAGCTTATCGTATCAAAGTTTATCGTATCTAATTGAAGCTTATCGTAACAAAGTGTTATCTATGAATTTTGTCCATCGTGAACAACATTTCAATTGGTCATTTTCAAATTTCACCATGTTTCAATTCTGACGTTTTCTTTTCATAAAGCAAATCACATATGGGAATGCCAGACAACAATGGACCATCTTTTGCTCGAATATACTACATCGCGAGGCCCAAAAAAGTCATTGGCATGGAAGTACACACGAGGTAAGCAATTCAACAACAAATGGTATGTAAAGAATTTCATCAACCAATCATCTCAAACATGCTTCAAAAGTAAATAGGTACCTAATTATATTTGGCTGGAAAAAAGCAATTTTGTAGGAGCGTGTCTTTAAACGCTCACTGCACTAAAGCTCTAAGTGTAGCGTTTGTTACTTCAGTATTTAAACATCGATATAAAATTCAAAAGTTCAGCATCACCGAGTCCAGAGTACAAGCAAAATTAACAGTGGCTGCTGCCAAGAATCGCCATTCGTTCAAAAGAAGGCAAACGCCCATCCCACACCTATGCGAATTATCTGACCCACCTACTTTTCGACCCACCCACTTTTCAGAACCAACGACGAGGTTCTGCACGTGCCAAAGGCGGCGCTCAAGTACAACATTACCGACCACGTGTTGATGATGTCCCATCCGAAGAAGGTCCACCCGCCGGATGGTAAGGAGTGCTGGGCTGGGGCCGCAGGGAGGGTGTGTCAGGGTGCAGGGCGCCGGCTGCCCCGCACCTTGATAGTGAACGCTGTGGTAGAAGTTTGGAGAGCGCGTGGTAGTAGATGTGCCTCTTTTTCGAGCTATTAAGATTGCCAGCATCGTTAGAAACTCAGGTTTCCTCATATCCGCCTAGCCTAGGTTCATGCACTGAATAGGAATGACCGATGACGTCCCTAATGTTGTTCGACATTATTCGATATAACATGAAAAACGCCTCAAGCGGAAACTAGCGCCTGAATCCTTCCTGAGCAGTCATGTCCATCCGTCCTGTACGCCGGACGTGTGTCCCGTCTGATATATTTGTCCCACGCACGACAGTGAACGAGCCATGGCATCTCAAGAACAAGGGCAAGAAGTACCACCTGCCCGAGCGGGTGGCCATCATCGCGCGGCCTCGCAAGGTGTATCCGAGCACCGACCGGCCAGCCAGCGAGATCGGCCACCCGCCACGCGCCGCCCTCTACGGCCACCCTCCGCGACGTGGCGACTCGGCGCCCGCCAAGAAGGCCGCGCCGCCGCCGCCCAAGCCAGCTCCACCTCCTCCACCGCCGCCTCCGGCAGCCGCGGAGCCGGCCGCGCCGTCAGCGTCCACCACCGGACCGACCACGACCACCTCGTCGACCGAGCCGACGGGCACCACGTCGACGACCGGCGGTCCGACGACCAGCGGCAGCTCGTCGGGCGTGACGTCCAGCTCGTCGGGCAGCAGCGGCGCCGGTGGCGGCTCAGAGTCGTCGCCGTCGGCCGACACGTGAGCCGCGCGCGCCGGCCCGCCGCAGAGCGGTGCTGACAGGAGCGGACAGCGCGGAGGGTGGCGAGAGGAGAGCGAACGCCGCACCGACGCTGCGCCAAGGACCGATAGGTAGTTACACCGACCACTAGGACGGACCGAGGAGTCCTGCAGACAGCCCCGAGGACGGTTCGAGTGGACGTGGCTTGACACATGATGACAACAGGAGGGAGTCACTGCGGAGGTTTCGCTTCGGGACCCGAGCGGTCGGTGTCACGGCCAGACGTCGGGCGTCTCGTTATTAGGCGCAAAGTCTGAACGCCGCTGGTCTGTGTCGAACAGTGGAGTGGCCCAGAGCTGCTAGGAAGCTGGAGCTGGAGACCTGTGGCTGCATGGCATCCGTACCGGCGGACTGTGGCACGACCAGAACTATCCTACTTTATAGCTTCGCGGTTAATGGGTACTAAAGTTAAATGCAGAGAAGAAGAATAATGTGTTAAAGCCACGGTTGCAGTGTTTGTTCATTTTTACCGAAGTTACCTACCGAGTGTTGCGCTTGAAAGAAATACAACGTATACCTACAGTATCTATATTACTATTTGAGGAGGGTGCGTCTGTCCGTTACCGAGGTCCCGACTTGGCGGTGCTTTGCGTGGACTACAGGCCAGACCGTTGCACCTAGCCCGGTGAAACTTGCACAACTTATAGATCAAGGATGCGCGACGTGCCTTTGAGGGGTCTCAGCTCGATCGGATTGATAGGGAGCGCGTGGCGCGTGCTCAAAAAGTGCAAATTCGCGTCATAGACTTTACATGTATAAATCGGCGTGCGAAATCCGGCGAAAACGGCTAATTTTGGCCGACACGGGTCCAGTTCCCGTGCAATATCTTGGTGACCAGGGGTCCGACCGGCACGGGGAAAACAGCATCGTGTACAGAATTGAACGGGCTATTGAATGGTGTGCAATGCAGAGGATAGCACGCGCCACGTGCACCGGAGAGGGCATTTTTATTTGAAAAATTGCGGTTTTTGAGGGATTTTGGAATTAATTTTATTTTTAGGTGACCGTTAAATGGAGCGAGTTGAATCAACGCCTATTTGCAAGAGAAAGGTACCGCCTCTCATATAAAAATTGTGAAAAGCTGATTGATCCAAATCAAGGTGGTGCAAATCACAGGAGAAAATGGTGTTTGTCAATTTTGTGCCACTTTATTAATCACACGGGGTTTGCTGCATAACCTGATACCTTTGGCAATTGAATATGGTACCATTGGATAGAGCATTCAATTCTGTCCAATATTCACTCTTCATTTTCGCATGATTAACAACAGTATCCTTAAAAATGTAAATGTTCCAAACCATTACATTGTCATTTTTAGCGAAATTCATCGATGGCCCTCAAAAGACTTCACGCCAGTTTTCGAATCAATCTAAAGTAGAACGCATGATAATACGACACGGGCACCTCGATGCGATGTATCTTTTTGTTTTCTTACAAAATGCTTGGCCGTCAAAAAGCAATCGAACGAAATGGATATCTACCAACCAAATCGACACAGACCAACCAAATACCCACGGGTCAAAAAATCCCCCCTTCGCGTTGCGGAGCACGCGGGTAACCCTAGTGCAATCCTATTTGTACCAGGTAATTACCAGGAGAGGGAAGCGCTGCATGTACCTACCAAAGTTCTACATCTATTTTTGAATCATTGTTTTATTTATTTTCGATTTGTCATCTAAACTGATGTCTGATTGTCTTAGAAGGTGAAAATACCTCATTGGTATGAACGCAACAGATATTTTTGGTTTTGGTAGAAATGTATTTTGTTTTCCCATCCCATGTAACTAGTCCTCTTGTACCTAAAGCGTATAATGTAACCGTGTGCTTCAAATGAAAAACCATAATTTCATTATACTCTTAACATTCAGAAGGGAAACAATGATTGGCATTTGGTTATTTTCTTTTATTTACCAAAATACATGTAAAAGCCATATAACAAATAACGAGTACACTTTAAGACCATGAAACGACCAGACAACTACACTTAACCCGTGGATAAAAGAGCATTTTCTATCGACGGAATCATGCCTCATGTCACTAAAGATCTCTTTGCTAAAGCCTGTACCACACACTAATGAAACGCGTCATGCACCCAC